CTGTGCGGCCTCAGGCAGTTCTCTCCCAGCCTCATCTTTCTTATCCATCAGATGGAAATAAGGATGGCAACCAGGCCTATCTCATGGAGTTACTGGATAAATATGTAATAAGATAATAGATGCAGAAACACTATGAAAATGGTAAACACAGTGCATTAAGTCCTGTTGCTGCTGTACCAAACTGCTACAAACCGTGGCTTGAAACACACGTTGATTCAGTTACAGTTCTGCAGGTCAGAACTCTGAAGGGGCCTCACGGGCCAAAGTGAAGGTGCTGGCAGGCCTGCGTTCCCTGTGGAGGCCATGTCCTTGTCTTTTCCAACCTGCATTTCTTGGCTTACGGCTCCCTCCTCCATCTCTAAAGTGAGCAACATAGCATCTTCAAAATTCTGTCTGATTTGGACACTGACTCTTTTGTCTCTCTCTTTTACTTACAAGGACCCTGTGAGTACTGGCCCCATGTGGGTAATCCAGAATCATCTTATGGAAAGGTCAGCTGATTAGCAACCTTAATTCCCGGCCCACTCACTAACATAGTTCCAGGGATTAAGATGTGGACATCTCTAGGGGACCATTATTCTGCTTATCATACATATAAAAGATTCGAATTTAATGTCTACTTGGGAGTCAATTGTTTTTTTTCAATTTCACAATTAATATGCCCAAGAGTTGTTTTATGGTTTAAACAAATAAGAAATGTGAAGAATATGTTTTCTAAGTAACTCACTATGTCTCTAAGATTTAGCAATATATGCTAAATATCTAAGAAGCTCAATAATAACTACAAGTTTTATACTTAATATAATCATCCCCATCTCTTTAATAAGTGAAAATTGAAGACAAAGATGTTGTTGCAAAATCTAAATAGAACCGTAAGCCATCTGGTATTAAACTTCCATGTTAATATCCTGGCTTGCAAAGAAATAAGTGGCCATACAAAGCTAGGATTAGCTCGTGATGTTCCTAGTCATAGAAATAAACATATATTGAGGTCTGGAAATATAGGAAAGGTCAGGCTGTCAGTCAAACAAAGGGCATGAAATAACTCAAAGGTAGAGCCTCCTGACCCCAAGCAAGTACACAGGGGAGTGAGGAAGGTACCATACTAGGGCCTGCAGGTAGAGGACAGCTCAACCCAAAATAAGCCAAGACTGCTTTCCAGGACCCCGCAGGTAGCCCCAGTGAAGATCCTTGTAAACCATCTGATTTCAAGACACGTGTCTTCCATATCTGTCAAATGTCACTGTAGATTATACATTCTAGTCCTATCAATGGTTAACCTAAAAATTATAGTACAGACCAGGACTAAGGTAACAATTCCTAAAAAAGAATTGTTATTAAATAAACATAATATAAAGTTATTTTAAAAGCACAAAAATAAATAGAATTTATCTGAACCTGAAAAATTACAAATCATATATTTTCCCCTAAACTTATTAATGATTTCAACCAGGCTAAAATCAGGGAATCATTCAAAACAATTTCCAGGGCATCTCATTTCAATCTCTAATCTATTTCTTCAATATATACATATTATATACATATAATATGTATATATACATATGTACATATATATGTATATAATATGCATATATACGTGTGTGTGTGTGTATATACACACATATATATACAGCCCTGATGTAATTGATATTCACCATGATGACCTCAAGATTTTGAAAGCTACAAAGTTCTTATTGATCATTAAAGAAAAACTAAGTTATGGTCAGAATAATTTTATTAGTGAGTGTGTTGAGAACATGCTGTCAAAGATTTATATTTTATTTAAAACCTGGCTGTATATAAATTATAAATACATGAAATCCCTGGGCCAGAATATTAAAGTACTCATACCACATCCTTTCCTATCACATTGGACAAACATAAGTACACTTTAGTAAAATCAATAGCAGGGCTCATGTTTTTGAGCAATAGAATTTAACATTTTCAATCTACGGAAACAAGTTTTTCCAAAGAAGTACATTTTTTCCTAACCTATGGTATTTTGTTTTAATCAAGAATAGTATCAATAAAACATACAGCAATAAGAGCTTGCCTATATTTCATATCAGAATATATTCTTCCTTGAGATTTTATTACTCAAGGGAAGCTAAAACAGACAGGGAAGCATTTATAAAGAGTTAGTCAATTTTTCTAATAATGAAGCCTTGTGAACATATCTGGCAGAAGATGATGATGGTAATAACGATGATGTTGGCAGTGATAACAAAAGTTTGAGTGATGTAGTCTAAGATGCTTTTGCTGGGGAGGAGAAAAATCCCCAGAGATAATGTCATTAAAACTTATTTATGAACCACCATCCTAATTGTGAATGCAGTGAGCAATTTTATGATTCTGCTTTCCCCAAATGACAATTTCCTCTCCAAGAACAGTAGAGGTAACTGTAAGTAGAGCATAGCTCAACCCAAGTGAAGACACAGGACTAAGATAACAATTAGATTTTGGCCAAATCACAAAGCCATCCATCCACTCATTCTTCCACTGAGACCAACTAGTCAGCAAGGGCTTGTACCGTGACAAATAGTATGAAAACACCCTTCAGACCCATCTGCGCCATCACAGTTCCCAAGGCTACCTATGGAGGCCAGTCCTTCAGTGAGAGAAAGATTAGACTGAAAAAAAATTTACATCAACTGGTAACCGGTAAGGAATACAAATGCCAGTATCCAGAAGGCTCCAAGTCACATAAAACCTGTTTAAAGTAGTTTTAAAAAAAGAAATCAAAAGTATGCAAAAATAGGTTAAGGAATATTAAGCACTTGAGATATTTACTGATGTTTAAGAAAAAAATTCTATATCTCAGATATATATCATGAAAAATCTGATATTTAACTCCTGATGGACATATTCGATAGGAAAAAATTTCAGTTTCCTGGACAGAAAATTCAGTATCTTTCAAAATGCCAAAAGCTTAATCGTAAAGTTCTCCATAATATTGACCAAATCATACCTTAATGGAAAAGGAAAAACCAGATGCACATGCAACAAATTAGCTTATTCGTTCAATTTTGTCAGAGTTTTGAAAATTCAGGTATTGCGTAACTGTCCAAAAACTCTGAGCATTAGATTATAACACTGAGGCCAACACTGGACACTGAGGTATCAAAAGAAACAAGGTCCAACAACCTTTTTCTTACAGTGAATTACAGTACATAAGTTAGATGGACTTTTTAGTCACCTCTGTGATAATTTTAGTAGTCAACTAAAAAGGATTAAGATGCAGAGGCATTTGGAGTTTTCCAAACAAAGGATCAGACAGTGAGGAAGGCAGAAATACAAAACAGAAACTCTCCACTATGTCTCAAGAGCCAAATAACAAACCAACTTCAGGTCACCTCAAAGTCACTGGTAAGAAAAGAATCCCTGAGTCAACCTTTCTAAGCCATGTTAAATAAATGAGAAGAAAAAACTTAATACAGCTGTACCTTATGTGCTCCTCAGACAATTTATTCAATTAACCCTGCAGAGGAAATCTGCAGAAGGTCCATGGGGTATCATGCCACTTACAAGGGAAATTCCAAAAGAAGAGCAAAATATTCTTTGACCTCCAGGCATCTTCTAGTCAATGCCAGAGAAAGAACAAACTCAGTACAGAATAGGTTAAATTCCACCGGGGGGAATTTAGCACTCACAGGCATTATATATTGGAAAACTGTTCAGTGTTCATGGTTTTTTGAAAAGTATTGAGACTTTTTAAGCAATAGGAAGTAAATGCAGACAGGGATTCTTCAAGAGAAGAATCCAAGGATGCCAATAAAAAGCAGGAAAGTAATTCTAAGTGGAGAAGCATAAGCCTTCAGGCATCCACTAGAGAACAGAGCTGTGGTGTGGCAATCAGAGGCCAGATCTGGGGCCACGGGGACAGGTCGGAGCTGCAGATGGCTACAAAAGGGGATCCAACTGGAGACTCGGAGCCACAAGGCTAGGGGCCTACAACAGACATCACCCAGGGGGCACGTTCACCAAAATTACGGACAGATTATTTCATTCAGAGAAGAGATGTATTACTCACCCGATTTATATGGCTGGTCCTTAAAATAACCTGCAGCAGGGTCTTCTCAAATTCTTCCAACTTCTTGGAACACTTTTTAAGAATATGATTAGATAAGTTACCATCACTGATCAGTCTAGCTAAAGTATCAACAGCTTCTGTCCAAAACCTTGAAAAAGGAAGTTTGGGTTCTCGGTAAAAAGTGATCAGGCCATCCAACAACTGAAAAACAGAATCGGACACTGTGGAAGAGTCGTTTTCAAGGTGGCTGAAGCCGGTTTTCAGACTCCCCGAGTCCGTCAAGTTCTTCAGGGCAAGCAGATGCTGCAAGAATCGCATGTGAGAAGACAGGGGGTTTTCCGGAGCAGCAGGATGGCTTTTCCCAATGGGCAGCGGTGGGAAGGGGGTGGGGGTGCAGCTCTCCACAGAATGCCAGGGCATCTCTGAAAGGTCGCTTCTCTGCTCACAGGATAAATCACACCCAGAATCTTCCAGCGGAGCTGATGTGTTCTCAGAACTTCTAGGTTCCTGAGCCTGCAACACGGAAGACGGGTCTCCTGAAATACAAAGGAATAGAAGCAGCATTGTCTTTCTGTAGCTAAAATTTCTTCATATAAAAACTGGATACTGATTTTTCTAACTTAAAACACTTAATGAAGCATGAAATGCATATGAAACAGTAAGAAGCAGTAGTGTGAAAACTGAACAGAGGAGAAACCATGAATACAACCGCTTAGACTGACTGTAGACAAGGCCTTAACTTTGCTGGTAGAAAGCACAGGGCATCCACCATATATCGGCAGGTCACTGTCTCTCATTCAAGGCCACTCCTGAAGGGTACAGAGGAGAGACCACAAAACCTGAAGGAGGTCACCATCTGGTACAGATTTCAACAGGTAACTACAAAACAATATGGTGTTATCTAAGACGGAGATCTGCTCAGGGCACTAGGGAAATAAAAGGACCACTGGCCAGCCCAGCCTGCTTAGAGCAGTGCATCCTGGAAGAGGTGATGGTAGAACAGATTTATAAAGCATAAGGAGGCATTCCAAGTTAACGTTAGGGGAATGGAGGAAGAAGACAAGAGAATTCCATACACCAAATGCATGAGCACAGAAGCACAGAGTCAGGAAGGAAACAAAAGCACTGTAAAAATAAGGACCCAAAGCAGTTCTATGCTTCTTTTACAGAAAATGTAAGGTAAAACATTAAGCTGGAGAAATATGTAGAGGGCAGGTCATAAAGGATCTTAAAAGAGGTATTAAGGGTCTCAGAATTAATAGGTAGAATGAAAGTGAGTGCAGTTTGGACAACTATGAGCAGACCCATACACATACCCAATACCCAAAAATAAATACATAAACGATTTACATACGTATGTGTATTTATTTGTAATTACTCGAGTATATCTATCTATACCTACAGATATATACGTGTCTGTGTTTCTATATATATAAAACATATATATGTCATAGATCCTTGAAATTATATAACCACCAGACTCCTCTGACATTAGCTGAGACATGCTGAAGTTAAGGTTACCTTAGTAACTTAGGTCATTCTTTGACAGAGATGCCATCATAAACACATAAAAGGTTGTCGTTGTTTGTAAAACGATTATCATACACATAAAATTGAAAAATTCTCATTGAACTTTCTAAAGCACAAGCATATTTCTATGAAACCACATTTGAGAAACACTGGTATCGGCAATGGAAGCAGGAAGGGGACGGTAAGTGACGTGATGCAGGACAGTGAAAGGGTCGTGAAAGGGTCGTACTTTCACTCCACAGAGCTCTCTGCTGGCCCTACGAAGGGCCCACTGGAGGAGGACACAGTGAGATGTGGAGAGATCAGTCCAAAGTCACCTCTGTCGGCCCTCATAATCATGTGCTGAGAGAAGGGAACCAGGCAGTTGCAGCGGAAGACTGGAAAGCAAGGGACTGACAGGGGGAAAAACAATATAAAGGGAAGCCAGCTGACTGCGTGGGTGCAGGCCACAGAGTAGAAGCAGGAATAAATGCAGCCCATGGTTCTGACCTAGGTGGCTGGGCAGATGACGGTGCTACCAAGGGATCAGTGAAATTACAGACAGAAAAGTGGTGTAGGAGAAACAAGGAGAAGTCAGTCTTGGTCACATAAACTTTGAAGCCACCGGAGGAAATCTAGGTGAAGATACTCACTTGGAGACTGGCCATGTGAGCCAAAGGATGGGGAAAAGGTCTAGACTGAAAACACACTTTAGCAGTCCTTGGTGTGCGGGTGGTACCTGGAAGAATGCATCACTCAGGATCACCTGGGGAGAGGATGGACAGTGACCAGAGCAGAGGACCAAAGAGGGGCTCTGAGGAGTATCCATCTGAGGTTTGCACAGAGAGAGGACAATCATCAAGGAGACAGAGAAGGCACAGCTG